CTGTCCCGCTGTGCTTAAAAAAAAAAAGATAGTTCTACACCTTTGGAAGAAGGGTGAGGTAACCCAAGAAGAGTATGAGGATGTTGGTAGGATATGCAGATAGAAAATCAGAAAGGCAAAAGACCAGCTTGAACTTAACCTGTCTGATTTGTTAAAGATAGTAAATAATGTTTTTACAAATATATTAACAGCAAAAGGAGAATCTCCTGCCTTTACCAGACAAGGCATGGAACATTATCACCAGGGACAAAGAAAAGGCTAAAGTTCTTAATCCCTTCTTTACTTCTATATTTTAAAAGTCAGATCAGTTATCCTCAGGGGTACTTAGCCCTCTCAGCTAAAAGATGGACAGGGAGCAGAATAAATCCCCCACAATTCAGGAGGAATCAGTTAGAGACCTGGTCTCTCTGAAGTCTATGGGACCAGATGGGATCCAGCCGAGAGTGCTGAGTGAGCTGGCAGAAGTGCTTGCCAAGCCACTTTCTGTCATTTATCAGCTGTCCTCGTCAATCTTGGAGGTCCCAGATGACCGGAGACTAGCCAACATCACACCCATCTATGAGAATGACTGAAAGAAGGATCAGGTGAATTACAGCCTGACAGCCTGATTTCAGTATTGGGGGAAATTATGGAACAGATCACCTTGACCGTGATCACAAAGCATTATAACTAAGTTATCAGGCCTAGCTTATGTGGGTTCATGAAAGGTAGGTGCTGCTTGAACAACCTAATCTTCTTCTAAAACCAGGTGATCTGCTTGGTGGATGAGGGAAAAGCTGTGGATGTAGTTTGCCTAGACTTTATTAAAGCCTTTGATTCTCTCCTCAGAATTCTCTAGAGAAGCTGGCTGCCAAGGGCTCAGACAGGTGTGCTCTTCGCTGGGCAAAACGCTGGTCAGATGGCGAGGCCCGGAGTGTGATGGTGAACGGAGTTAAATCCAGTTGGTGACCAGTCACTCTAGTGGTGTTTCTCAGAGATCAGTATTTGGGCTGGCCATGTTTAGTATCTTTACTGATGAGTGGATTGAGTGCATCTCATCTGTACACTTGCAGATGAAATCAAACTGGGAGGTAGAGCTGATCTGCTAGGTTAGGAAGGCCCTGTAGAGGGATCTGTATAGTTTGGATCAATGGGCTGAAGCCAACTGCTGTAACAAGACCAAATGCTAGGTCATACACTTCAATCATAACAAAACCATGCCTTACTACATGCTTAGGGCAGAACGGCCGGAAAGCAGTGTGGAGAAAAAGGATCAGGAAGTGTTAGTTGGCAGCTGGCTGAACATGAGCCAGCTGTGTGTCCAGATGGCCAAGAAGACTAACGGCATCCTGACTCATATCAGAAATAGTGCAGTTAGCAGGACTACTGAGGTGATCGTTCCTCTGTACTCAGCTCCGGCGAGACCATACTTCAAGTACAGTGATCATTTTTGGGCCCCATACTACAAGAAAAACATTGAGCTCTGGTGCACGTACACAGAGAAGGGCAGTGAAGCTAGTGAAGGGCCTGGTACACACGGCTAGACATGGCCTTAAGTTGCACCAGGGGAGCTTCAGGTTGGTTATTACTCAGAAAGAATGTCAGGCATTGGACAGGCTGCCCAGAGAGGTGGTGAAGTCACTGTCTTTGGAGACTTTCAAGGAAGGGATAGACTACAGAGTCACTTATTGTAAGAGTTGGAAGGGACCTCTAGAGATCATCAAGTCCAACCCCCCTGCAAAGCAGGCCCCTACAGCAGGCTGCACAGGTAAGCATCCAGGCTGGTCCTGAATGTCTCCAGAGAAGGAGACTCCACAATCTTCCTGGGCAGCCTGTTCCAGAGCTCTGTCACCCTCACTGTGAGGAAGTTCCCCATGAGTTTTTGTGCAGAACTTCCTACGCTCCAGTTTATGACTGTTTCCACTCGTCCTGTCCCCACAGACTACTGAAAAGAGATTGGCCATGTCCCTTTGACTCCCACTTAAGATATTTATAAACATTAATAAGATCACCTCTGAGTCTTCTTTTCTCAAGGCTGAACAGACCCAGGTCACTCAGCCTCTCCTCATAGAGAAGATACTCCATGTCCTTTACCATCTTCATGGCCCTCTGCTGGACTCTTTCCAGGAAATCCCTGTCTTTTTTGTACTAGGGAGTACAGAACTGTATGCAGAACTCCAGGTGAGGCCTGACTAGGGCAACGTAGAGGGGGAAGATCACCTCCTCTGACCTGCAGGCCATGCTAATTTAATGCACCCCGGAATCCCACTGGTTTCTTGGCCTCCAGGGCACAGTGCTGGCTCATGGCCAACCTGCCGTCTACCAAGACCCCAAATGTGGCACTAAGGGACATGATGGTTTAATGAAATGTTGGTGATGGTTAGACTAGATTATCTTCATAGTCTTTTCCAACCATAAAAATTCAGTGATTACATAAGCTAGTCTGAGACACAGCCTAAGGATCAGAAAATGGCCTCTGCTCAACCGCTCTCTGTATCAAAAAGCAGTCACAGAAAACAATCTAACATTTCAACATCATCCTTAATTTTGTCATTTTTTGTCTTCTAAACACTGCAAATTTAATATTTTCTTAAGATAGCTATTTCTTGTAACATACACCTAGAAAAAGGACAAAAACATTAGTACATGTACGTTCTGAGATGGCTAGAAGTTAATTCTAATCAATTTAATATCTTATTAACTCTTATTAATTTAATATCAAGATTCTTGATATGACAGTATCTGGCTCTACTTCATCACAAGTTTTCCCGGATCAAGATGGAATATGGTATGATTAAATTTTTAATACCTATGCACTACAATTCAGATACACCAACTACAATTAGAGGAAGAGGTAGAAAAATTTTGATGCCTTTGACCTATTCATGGTCTGTTCCACGGGCACTATATGATTATAAAATAAAAACCAAATTCCATTCCAAACTAGTATCCCTCACACATACTCCCTGTCATTCTTTTTTTTCTTTCAGTGATACATTCTTCAACTGTTAACAATTTTGTTATCCTTTGATTTAAAGAAATCTTCTAAAGACAGTATTCAAGTAAAATGCAGTAACTGACTTCATAATGAATCCTACTGAAACAAACAAAGCCATGCAGTGGTTACATTTGTAAGATTTCCCACATTTCATATTTATACTTGTCAACTTTTCCAGTTCTGCTTTTTCTACAAACTCTTACCCTTTTTTTTTTTTTCCCTACTCATCTCCTTTTAAAAATTGTCTTCTTTTGGCATATGGCAGAAGGTGTTTCATAAAGAGAGAAATAGAGGATACACATATGAAGAAAGCAGATCCAGGTTTTCAGCAAGAATTATAGCTTCCTCTACTAAAAATTTATATGAAAATAAGTGATCATAGTATATTCTCATACTAAGCAGAATGAAAGGAGAGAGTGAAAGGAGCCTGGTTTACACACCATAAGCTACTGAAGAACATCTTTCAAAAGTAAGTTTCAAATGATTAATAAATGCATATATTTATCAGAGATTCACATACACTTCACATGTAATGATAAAGATAAGAAAAAAACTAAGTATTTCAAACTAGTTTTATCTAAACTTACTCATTTGGGACCAACTATTTTTTCCACTGGACACTTTCAAATCTCTGAAATCACTATGACCTGAGAAGAATCACAGGTAAAACACTGTGTCTATCTAAATCAGTGGAGTTTTCCCATGACTTCAAATGGCTCTTTAACCCATCATAAAAATCTGACTTGGTGGTACCTGTAAAGTTCTGACATATGGAAATGCACCTCCCACCACACCTCTCCCTTCAAACACTCTAAAATCTTCCTTTTCTGACTAGATTAACAGTGTTAAAATATCAGTTAAAACAGCAGTCTGTCATCTATTTGAGTATAAGAATCCTACAAATTAAGAACAAAATATTGGAGAATTTTAACAACTTCCTGAATTTCGTTTCAAGACTTCCTATTTAGTTACACAGAATAGAATTCATACTATCCTTTCTGTCCTACCTATGCTATTCAAATTGCAGTATTTAAACTGCAAGCAACCACTAACAGTCACAGCAGGATCCATCAGAAAGATGAGTCAGGATGTTTCTAAACATGAATATCACCAGTACCCAGAAAGAAAAGGACAATATTTGCTCCAAAGTATCTTTAGAAAACACAACTATTTCCTAATCTTGCTATGGTCAGTGCACAGCACAGTAGAAAGCTGAAATTCTGAGGTCAATTTAACTTTCTCTTCTGTGTCTTCTGAAATAAATATATGTTGGTGATGATGTATTCAGTCTCCAGAGAGAAGAAAGATACTGTTCACACAGCACTTCTACTCACCAGTCCATGCAGCAGCAATGGTGTTGGCTTTGAAGAAAGCCAACTGTTCTGCTCTCCCAGCCAGAGGTAAAGAATTGCATTGATGGCCACTAGAGGGAGGATTAGGAATATAGTAAATTGTGGGCAAAAGGTACCCATGATGAATCACATGGGACAACCTACAAAACCCCCATTGCTGCCAAAAGGCAACAATTAATACATACTGCTATGGGCTGGGAAGTATAATCCAGTTCTTATAATCTCCTACAAGAGAGTTGCCAGTATGTATCCTAAACTTTAGTGGCTGGAGGATGAGAGGGCTGACTAGAATGTGTGAAGAATATGTACAAACATACACAGACATATCCCTTTATTTACGATTCCTTTATTTGCCTTCTGTTTTTAATCTCCTTACTAAAAACTTCTGCTGGAAGCTCCTGTGAAAAGCAAACATCGCAACTTCAAGAGAATCTCAGAAGAACCAACAACAGACACACACTGCCAACATATACTGCATTTAACAAAACACATCTGAATATATTAAATGTACTTGAAAACAACAAAATCCGATGAGATAAATGTTCGTTCTCTAAAATAAGGTTTGAGTTATATCTGGAAGAAACGTTTTTAATTAGTTACCTACATAATTACGTAAGAAAGAATATCTTGCAATTCAGCTTATCCTTATCCTTGGCTGCCTGGTGTCTTACCTCCAGCACAAGTGGCAGAACATTCTGACCAAGGCAGATGATTCCACGCAAAGCCAACTTCATTGTCTCCACTGCCAGTGCGAGAGATGGGAACATTGAATTTATACCTTATACCCAAATTTTGTTCCTGTAGCAGAATCTGAAGTTGAAAACAACTGGTTATACCATTAAAACAGGCAAGCAGAGTGTAACTACAGTGATGTTAATCTAGGTACGTGTTATGCCTTGTGAAAGGGAGCAAAGTAATAAAGGAAGCTGCAATATTTCTTTAATATATTTGCAAAGCAATCTGAATGAAATTGTTAAACATACATAAAAGGTATCATTGTATAAGTGAGCTTTACCTTATTTTCACTTTGACATCGTAACTACCTAACCTCCATCAGATTTTTATTCTTGACACAATAACCACAAAGAAGCCAGTGTTCATAAATTAATGTCTTCATGGAAATGAATTTCATAACTGAATCATTACTTGAAGTGAAAGTTAATTAAATCAGTATGCAAATATGCAGTAATTATCACTGAAATCAAGCAACTAGATAAGAATCCAGCCCTCTCCTTGCTTATATTTCTAGTGATTTATAACAGTAAAAATAGTAACAGAAATAGACTGTTGCTGAGGTTATGGTTTTCACTGAATACACGCAGTTAACACTGGTGGATCCTTTAAAGGAATATCAAAACTATCACTACAGTCATATCACTGCATTTGATAAAGATGGCAGAGTAATAATCATCAAGAATTTTTGTCTACCCAGTCTGGAGACTGTATTGCACTCACCTCTTCCTGACATACACTAGTCTTTCATTATTTTTATTTTTTTTTAAATACAGGTCAAATTATTCTCATCATTACAGAACTGTCAGTAAAGAAAAAAGCTACTGTATTCATATTACACATCAAACAGTTCCACCTATCAGAAGTACACAGAAATGCAATACATATCCAATTTACAATTTCTTCTGTAGCACATTTAACATAGATGGGGCACTTTCTGTGATATTTCCCAGGGCTCTTACAATTTTATCACTTTTTCATCTCAGTATCTGCATATCAGTTTTGAAAGGTAAGGAAACTTAATTAAAATACAAAAGCAAGATCCCAGCATGGTCTGGGACCTACTTTGATTATATTCACGGTTTATCTTTGCTGATAACAAAAATCATATTTCAAATTTCATATATATATTAAATATAACTTTACCATGACTATGAGATTTTCCGAAGTAGGGCCTAGTGCTTCCAGAGATTCTGGTTCGTCTGTTGGCCTCTTGTAATGGAAAGCTGTTCCAGCAACATCAAATTTTCTTGGCCAGTCAATAGTCCAGGCACCATTAATATAGTAGTCATCCTCTTCAGATTTTAGAGCTTAAAAAAAAATACAAGCCACCTAAAAATTGGAAGCAGCATTTATAATGGAGAAGCCATTGCAAATTAACCTACTAATCTAGTAGAAGTATGTGAATTTCAGCTGTCATCACTGTTTTTTCAATATAAACTTTTTTCTTTAGCCCTGATTAAAATATCCCTCAAGCAACTTGGCAAGGCTTTTTACCATAATCTCAAATGTGCAGGTAAACTTTGCAAATACTGTATGGAACACAAGAGAATGCCTCATACTGTTCTACATAAGTGCAAGGTGTTGCAGTTGGGTTGCAACAATCCCAGATATGTACCGACGGAAAAGAACTCACTGGGAGCAGCCCTGCTGGGGGAACTTAGGGATTCTGGCAGTTGAAAAGCTGGACTAAGCCAGCAGTGTGCAACTGCAGCCCAGAAGGCCAACTGCATCCTGGGCAGAATAAAAAAACAGATCAATCTAATCCTTTGATTAAAATTTTGTATGTTGGAGCATGAGACTGGTACCTCATATAACATCCTGAGTAGGAAAAAAAAGAAGAATGAATTATGTTACCTATCAGATCTTACTTTGTTGTCTTTGCAACCTTTTTTTTTTTTTTTTTTTTTCCTTCTTAGAGCATAAATCCAAGACATTTCTACTACAAAATCAAATATCATTTTATCTGGCAATAAATTTTATTACTATTGATTTGCAGCCTTAAACCATAAATATACTATAGATAAGAAACTTCTTAACTAACTGCCTAAGTAGGCTATACAAGCAGATACTCATCAAAGACTTAGTATTTGATATTTAACCAGTAATATGAGATTAATTTTCTAAATACGAAAATGACTTTGTATCTTAAGGCAGATACTTTCTTGATTAGATACTGACTCCTTGGCTTGAAGCAATAATGAAGATTATAGACTTATTCATCATTTATATTTACTTTAAATATAACAGTATTTGAGGCAAAACAATGGGTGGAAACACAATCAAACAGCAGTGCTGTTTTTCGAGACAAAACACAAACTATATAGGATTTTACAAACTCATTTCATAATCATAAGACAACTTAGGATCAAGTTTTGCCACTTACTAGATCAGGTTGCCCAAGGCCCCATCCAACCTGGCCTTGAACACCTCCAGGGATGGGGCATCCACAGATTCTGTGGGCAATCTGTTCCAGTGCCTCACCACTCTCACAGTGGAGAATTTATTCCAAATATTTCATCTAAATCTACTCTATTTTAGTTTAAAACTGTTGCCTCTTGTGCTATCATAACTTCATATAACTACGTTGAAGCTGAACATTAGTATGTCACTAGTGGTCAGACTTCCCTATAGTTAAAATTTCTAACCATTCTGCTTTCACAAAATCTAGATTGATTAAAAGAGGATTATGGGATCTCCCACAGTCACTAAAACATTAAGGTCTGTCTTACTCTGACATTTAATACCAAACCTTTTCTTGTTAGTACATCTAGTATCTACTAACAGCAAATAATGAGTTAAGTTCTTACTTTTATTACTTCAGATATATCAATGAGAACAAGTGAGATATATAAATAAGCAAAGGAGAAAAAATGTCTTCATACATAATTAATCTTTCCTAAACTCTATTCTATTAATTATATGTGTGTTATACATGATTATTTTTTTACCTGCTTGTCTGCAAAGGAAAAATATATTTGTGTGAATGGATTTGCTTAATGTCAGTTTTTATACACAGGTGGAGGCTACGCAGCTGTGAAGAGTATCCCAAAAATATAATTATATGACAATGATGAGACAGTGATATAATTATTAGCATATGTGAAAAAAGGAACAAGTTAATATCATAATCAAGAAATTTGTGAGAATGTGAGAATGCAGGAAACCCACAGGAAATGAGAACACAACACTCTGTTGCAAAGGGGAATAGAAGTGAAGATGTCATTTAAATAAATCCAATTAAGGAAAGACAGCAGCACTTCTTAGCATATATTTTTTTCAGCAGATCTGAAAAAAAGGCAATTTTGCTGTTGTTTATGGACAGATTGGTTTAAAAAAACAGATTACTTATGCAGCCACAGAAACATGTGCTTGCAGTATCACAGCACAATAAGTGATACTGATGCAGAAACAATTAGTCTGAGTCATGGAGAGCACAGATACTAACTGAGCTACCTGAGGTTGTCAGATGTCTAACTGCTGACTCAATTTAAGGTCAGGGCTTGCAAAACATCTGGATCATAGTCTTAATCTGAGACCCTACTAAGTGAAAGGAACAGAAAAGTACTGAAGCCAGTATCAAAGCTGCAGGGGAGGAGGTTTTCTTCTTTTTTTTTTTTTTCATTATTTTTTTATTTCCAAATTGAGAAATTGATTTCTTTGACTGTGGTCACATATTTGGCTGCGTGCACGTAAAACAAAACATAATAATATGTGTAAATGGTTATTTTCAGCTGAATCAGTTCTCTAATCTGGTTCATGGTGTGACCACAAAACAGCTGTTCCGAAACAACAGGAAACTCCACAAAGATGAGGAAAGTGTTGTGAAGTAGACATTGCTACAGAAGGAGTGCCTATAAAACAACACCTTGAAGTATGTATTTTAACACAATAAATTCCTTTTTAACTGCCATGTTTCTAAAGCTCTCTTTAGGGAACAGACAAATTACAAGCATTCCCTCCCCCAGAAACTGGTGATTCTAAAATAGTGATCTTGCTCACATTCACAGTACAAAACATTCAAAAAAAAAAAAAAAAAGAAAGAAACAGTCCCTGTGACTTTATTATCTTACATTAGCATATAATGGCTCTCTTGAAAGTTGTAAACACAGCAAAGTAGTGAAGGAGATGAACGCCCCTGGAATCAGCTAGGACATCTGAGGCATGAAGCAAGGTAGTGAGGAGAGGCCTGAAACTTGGGAACACCCATGAGATTGTGAGAAGCACGCTGGAAACATACTTCATCTTATCAAACCTGTGGTCAGATTAAAACCCACAAATATTGCCTACATTGTCCATTTGAGCTAAAAAATTGACATTTTTCATTAATTTTGGTGCTGAGGTTACTGACATAAGTGCAGTTCCAGATCATATTTCTCTGATAATAAATTAGAGGAACAAAAATCTTAACTGTACTAACTAAAAGTTATCTTCTGTATTGTTTTATCATCTCTGTTTTCAGTTAGCCATAGAATCAGAAACCCAAGTCTCTTAATGTGATCTGTATATTAAATAGGACGTTAATACTGGTGTAAATGTCAATATTACATAACATACTTTTTTGAAAGCAACGGTGGTAGAATGTACTTAATGTCTCTCCCATCATCTCTGTGTCAACTGTCAATATAGGATACACAAGCAATCTTACTGACATATTTTGAATTGGGAGAGTGTAATGCTGAAAAGATGGTAAGTGCTCTTTATTCCTGCAGTACTGAATATTACTACTCCTACAGGATGGAGGGAAACAGAAAATCTGAATTACATCACTGTGGGAGCAGTCCGAAAAAAAAAAAAAGAAAAAAAAAAGAAGAAAAAAAAGCAACCAATTGTAAAAGGCACCATTATTATCAATATAATACATTTAGGAAAAAATGCACCTGAAAGAGTAATTACCCTTCAAACTAACACTTACATGCATTTATGCATTATTTGTTTATATATATACACATCATATATTTATATAGCATTATTTATTTATATATATACGCATCATATATTTATATATTGTTTATGCATTACTGATGCAACATATCAGTATTGTAACATAAACTTCTGTTAGTATAGACTGACTAAACAGCAGACAGTTGCCATGAAGTCTATAAAGGTAACAGGTTCTGGTTGTGTTAATCTGTTTCCTGTACAACTTATCAGCTCTCTACATTATTTTTGAATGAGGAATGCGTGCTCCTGCACTGCTGTGAACTGAATGCTATGCAAACCACTGTATATAAACTCTGAGAAATGCATGTTTGAGTTTGAGGAAGCCAGATTTGTACATATTAATATTTTAAGAAATGGAAATGAAATTTAACATTGTCTTAAAGAAAATGAAGGATAATACGGATTAATTTAATTTGAATTTAATTCTGTGCTTTGTCACAAGTTTCCCGAGTGATCTTAATAAAGCACAAACTTTTCCCTGCACGTAACTTTTTTTTCCATAAAAGAAGGCATAGCAATAAGTCCCTACAACACAGCAATATAGAAACACTGTGGAATTAACAAAATATATTGACTTAAGATACAGAGGCAGCATTGTATCATCACAGAATGCCTTGGGTTGGAAAAGACCTGAAAAGATCATATTCTTCCAACCTCCTGCTGTGGGCTGCTCAGGGTCCCAATCAACCTGACCTTTAACATCTACAGGGATGGGGCATCCACATCTTCTCTAGGCAACCTGTTTCCAGTATGTAATTCATTAGTATTTAAGTAACTATTGTTGTTGGTGAATAAACATTCCAAGATTATGTTTTAAAACATTACAATCCCCTAAAATGAGAATCTTCCTTAGGAAGAAGACACTAGCTCAGTGTGGGGCAGTAGATCACTTTAGTGATCTTCATCTACTCTAGCTCCAAGTCTAGCTGGCCTGAGTTTGTGCTTTGGTCAGGGAGGAAAGATGCACTCCATTAGCTCCACTTGGGAGAATGCATCCTAACAAACTGGATGTTTTTTAGGCAGTTGCCACAGCCTAAAAACTACAATTCCCTCTCCTCCTTCAACTATACGTATGGTTTGGTCAAACCAGAAAACCGTACCTTCAAGTCACTCAAACTAACTTATTTACAGTCTGCTACTTAAAGCATGCTCTTACCAATGTAGTTCTTGGACACTGCCACTTCTCTTATTTCAATGTGCACTGAACCTCTTGGAATTTGAATCACTTCCATGTAGCCTATGAGAAAATGGTATATTTTTCTCTCGTTATATTGGTCATGAAACTAACCATTATTAAATTGTTTACAATTAAAAACTAGTAGGAAGTATAGGATTCAAACATACTTGAACATTCCATTTCATGTGATATAAAGGAAAATTCTTTTAATTTCACACACATTTTGAAGTTGTAGCAAAAATGTAGTATAAATTTATGTATTCATTTTTTTAAAATGCTAACGAAGTGCTTTCAACATTGTATCACAAGTAACTAATGTATGAAATGATCATAGGATCATAGGACAATTCAGGTTGGAAAGGACCTCAGACAGTCACTTAGTCCAACCTCTTTTGGGCAACTGAATCACTGCCACATGGGGAAAATGTTTTTCCTTCTATTCAGGTAATGTTTTGTTGTTTTTTTGGGTTTTTTTGAATAGCCATTGTCTCTGCTCCTTTCATCATGTCATCTACCACCTACTATGAACAGCCTGTTTTTGTCTCCACACTAACTTCCTCACAGGTTCTGGAAGGCCGATACCAGGTCCCCATGAACTATCACTTCTCCAGGCAAAATAAGTCTAATTCCTTCAACCCCTTCTCAAAGAATGTTTTTTTTTTCAGCATGTGATTATCTCAGTTGTCCCTCACTGAACAGAACTCACTTCAGTGCATCAATCCTTTGCCTACATTTGAGAATCCAAAACTGACTCCAGATGCAGCATTAATAAAACTGACACTGCCAACAGTATTATTGTTTTTTTAAGCTATATTTTCGGCTAATCGTCCACACATATTCTCCAAGTTCTTGATAACATTAACTCTTACGGATCCTGTCCATTCTAAAATTTCAAGTATAGTCATATACATGATTATCACAAATATGGAATACTGCATTCCACTATGCACATTAAAATCATTCACATAACTTCTTCTACCAAAGCACTATAGACAAGCAAAACAAAACAAACAAACAAACAAACAGAAACCCCTGAACATTCATTTCTTACTAAGTGCATCTAAGATCCTAAAAACTAAATATTCAATAATAAAGGATATTGCAGAATTTGACATAAATCCAAACTAATACATTAAAATGAAACAATAAGGCAAAAGGAGACAAAGTGAGTGAGTGACAGCAGCAAACTAGCAGCAAATAATGGAAACCACTGAAGTACTGTTTTTCATTTAACAGCTATCTAAATGCAACAGAACAGACATAAACATGCATACCTCCTCTGGGCAATGAATCATTGAAGAAACCTTCAATGGCTTCACATGTACTCCCATCTCCTCCACAAACACGACATCTATCTTCCTTAGCATCCGATCCCAAAATATTATCGCAACCTACATGCTAAGAAAAAATACTTTAATAAGATGATGGTTTTTTGCACCTTTATCTTCACTGTATGATAAAACACTCAAGTTTGAGATATTCTTTTTATCTACTCTAATTCTAATACCTTGCATTCTCCATTGATACAGATATCCAGTGAGTCAGCATTGCACTGAGTCCCATCTATTACTGCAGGAGCACGTTCAGTGTAAAAATTATAACCTTCAGCCAAGCAGTTTAATGCACATGGTTTAACCCCACCTAGACAACAAAAGTGAAGAAAAAAATAAGAGAGTTCCTGAAAAAAATAATGTACTTGCATAAATTGATCTAAAATGCATTATCTTATCTTACATTTCTCACATGTAGTATAGACACCTTATTTCACTTCCCATTACAGATTTACTTACTTGACTCTTCCCTTTCTTGCCAAGAGGATTATTTCTTACAGCAAGATACAGCAAAGTTGGTTATCTATAAATGGATTTTATTATGTTAACATAACCCTAATCATTACTAAACAATTTTAAAAGATACCATTTCAGCAGCATTTGATGAACACAAATAAGAAATAAGTCAGGGTGAATTTCAAAAAAATCAGATTATTTAAGACAGAACTTTCGTCTACATGAAATACACTATCACTCAGATCATGTGATCACAGTGGTCACTTCTAGGCTTTCCATCTAAAACAAAACAGCAAATAAAACCATTCAATACAAAAAACAAAAGGGAAAAACTGACATTCAGTTTTACTAACTTTGAACAATACGCAACTAAATTTGATTAAACTGTTCTAAAAAGAGATTGTAATTCTCTTCCCTACTTCAAAAAATACCTTTTTTATTTTACAGTGCAATTATACAAATCTCATGTTTTAAAGTAAGCTTTAGAGATCCTGTAATGCTTTTTCCCCTTTCCCCATTTCCCACTATTCTCAACTCAATTAAGGAAAATTTTACCTAGAAGTTTATTCACTTACAGATAAGCTATGTAATCTTCAATTCTATCACGATCACAGGTGAAAAAGGGCTCTATATTTTAATATAGAGTCCCTATAACTATTCTCTCAAGCTCTTTCCACATTAAAAAAAAAAATCCCTCTTAGAATAGTCAGGGCTCTTCTGTAAGATTTTAGCAGCTGACAAAAGGGTAGAAAACGTAACTTAGGTTATGACATCTTCATCAAAAGATTCTAAATAGAGACACTCCTTTCTGTATAAAATTCATACATTTTTGAATACTTCACATACGATAATGTTTTTACAAAGCTACACATTACCTCCAGTGTAGGGTTTCCAGTTATAATACTTTCCACGGAAAGGCATATTGTCAAAGTCTGCACATTGTTTTTCTCGAAAGTCACGGGCCCCTGCAGGACATGGCTAAAATAATACAGACAAAAAAAAAAGTTTATTCATTCTGAATATGAAAATAAAAAGAAATTTTCATATTACAAATAATAACAATCAGAAGACTAGGAGGTGGTACTTTGAGTGTCTATTCTGCAACTTTCAGCTGGCATGAATTGAATTGAATTATTAATTTAAAGTAAGGTAAGTGTTATAACAGTTTCCATAAAACCAGAAAAACAAAATCGGGTCAAGCTATGCTTCTTAATCGATCTGTCAGCTACCTCCTTACAAATGCACATATAAAAAACAAGTGAAAAAAATTAAAATCATTCTGGTAAGCGCTCTTGCCTCAGATTAAGCAGCTGCACTGACATTTGTTGTATAAGATACTGAGAAAGAAATTATAACAGTTTCTACAGATGAGACTATTATCATCTTTGCTTACTTGCAGCTTTGAAAAAGAGCATTGCAATAAGCCAAGAATGAGACTAGATAACATGTCTGGTCCTGACTGCAAGCATCAATTAAGACATAAAAACTGATTTCACTTAAATTTGCATTACTACACATTTCCAATTACAAAGCTTAGAAACTGTTTTCTTATTTCAGAAGAAACAGAATTCTTTGCTCTTTCTTTGCTAATTTTTCATGAGCGAGTTAAAAATAATAATGATGACCCTGAACACACCAAGAATTCACACTGCATGTTAAACACTGCTATCAATGTTTAAGTAGCAGCTATGATTTCAAGTGCCATGAGACAAAGTATTTGAAATACAGATTAAAATCATTTTTAGACTGAAAGAGGAAAGAGACTGTTTGACAGAAATTAGAGTTGTAGATAAATATTACTATTTTATGAGCAACAGAAGAGTTCATTTCATGGCAGTTTTACTAGTCTTCCTACGTATATCTAAGTCAGCTACCACTGTTCAGGAATCTCAAATGCATTCAAGTGAAACGGTCTGTATAAATGTGTGTGATAAAGATCTACTACACAATGCAAATATTAATAATTATAATTCTCACATTAATCAAGCTCCTACCATAGCCAGCCCAGTGCACTATGATTCACAAATTACAAGAGTTTTCTCCAATTTTGAACACAAATGAAAATACTGGATACTAGTCTTATAATTTTAAACTGCCTATAATTCTAATCTCTATTTAATTAAGAATATATTTTTGAATAAAACTTACTGATTAAAAATGTACTTAGTACTTTAATTCAAGTCTTTTAATTTCTCATAAGGAGAATAAAAATAATTGGAAAAATGCTCAAAGTAAAAATAAAAAGAAAAAAAAATCATTGGTAACAATTATATTTGCTGCTTTGTCTCCTATTCTTCAAGTATGAGAAGGAACAGTCCTGATCTATCGCAAAGTCTGCAATCAAATCTCATCTGCACTTGTCAATACCCACCACTCTTCAGTTCCACGTGCTTAGATACTAATTTGCATGGCTATTATTCCCCTGCAAAAACTTGGAAAGTTACCTTTGCAAGTTGATTAAACTTCACTGCAGAAGACATCATGAAACCCTTTTTATGAATAAAATTACTGCAATCTGATTTTTGAGATGCAGTCTTACTTCTCTTTTGGTGTTGATATATTGGATGTATTTTGAGGCGACATCATAAATTTCAGTAATAATCTGGATAATGGACAAGAGCACAGCAACTCTGCTCATGACAGACAATGAGATGAATAATACCAGAGTCATGCTGGTACTCAGAGACATCTCAAGAGGCTTGGAAATGGGTCCACAGCAACCTCAGCAAGTTCAATAAAAGAGAAACACAAAGTCATGCACCCAGGGAGGAAATATCCCTTTGAACCAGTTAAATGCTTGTGGCCTTCCAGTCAAAAAGGAGCTTTACAGAAAGGGAGTCACAGCGAAAAAGTTGAACACAAAACAATGTATTTTTTACCACAAGGAAGGCAATCATAGTGGGCTGCATTAGGCAAACTACTGCCAGCAATGACTACCTTCCCCTCTTTTCTGCACTGGTGAGGCAAACTTTGCCAAGAGAGCTTGTGTAATCTCCATTTCTGGAGACAGTCAGCTGGGTCCTGATGAGCAACCATCTCAAGGTTTGTGCAAGTTGGGATAGACACCCTCCCGGGGCTCTTTCAATCTCAGCCATTCTGTGACTCTGTAAGCAAAGCCTTTCCTTCTTGAGCCACAATTTAAATTGCTAATATCACTACTTTCTCTTTCTTAAAGACAGCTTTGGTAGTCTGACAGAAAAACAGCTACACACAATTGCATGCTTAGGCTGGAATCTTACTCCTCACCAGAGTCGTAGGCAAGGCAAGCAATACCTGGAAACAGTTAAATGAACCATGGGAACAAAGCTACTTATCCTCTACTCTTAGAGAAAACCACAGCCAAATAACTGAATGCCCTATTCTGAAAATGTTATATACAGCAAGACTGGGGACAAATTTTTATTTTTAACATCACAATCTCAGCTTCCACCATTACTTTCTTTTCTCATGCTGTCACTGAAATAACTGCTTTCAGAAATTGGAAAATTACAGGAAATCAGATTTCTACTGGCTTTTTCATTGTCAAATAGGGTTGAAAACTTTTCCTGAAAGAAATACGCGTAAGGAGCATCTGTTACTTTCCAAAGTGCTAGGACCTAACAACTACCACTCCACTACCGCTGACTTCCAGCTTGTTCATTCCAATAAAATTTTACTTTTTAAGCAGAATGTCTGCTAATGATGAAGGGGATCATCACTGCAACTTTACTTAAGACGGGCAATAGAAGGACTACAGCTGTCATAGTTACGTCTTTTCATCATACTTCTTAAGTTACCTTAACCTAACCAAAAAAGTATCTTTTCTATCCATGACACGTTGTGTCCTTTCACACCTGACTGCACAATGAGCAGATCTGTGGACCCGTGCAGTAAATAAATTTCCATTTTAGTGCCTATGTCTTCCTAGCTAATACTGAAAAACAATCATATCTCAGGATCTTGCTCTTCTTCCCACCTATCAATTTTAACACTCTCAAGCATGTACTAAATCCAGCTTTGAGATGGATTTCAGACAGCCCTGCTGAAGACTGTAGCCACCAAACTCAAAAGCACAATGTTCTGTACTCTGAATAAAGAAAAATACAACCGATAATTAAATTAATTTCTGTTACAAACTTTATTTTCTGTTGAGTATGTCATTACTACCTGGAAGAAAGTAAAACTAAAGACAGTATCCTCAAGAAATGCATTTACAAAATGTCAGTTCTGCAGCACTGTCCCTCCTCGTAGATATTCTTCTCCCAAAATTAATATGCAATAACTGTCTGACCTTTAGGGTAAGATATTTCATATTTTTCAAGGATTTAGGAGTTTGTATATGAGTAACTCTTGCTACAGGCTGCTTCTCCAATCTCTCTTTAGGAGACAGCAAATCATGAGACGTGTAAGAACTTATAACAGGATATGAAGAACGTCCAAAGGAGATGATGGAACAATTAAAATTTTGAGTCAAAAAAATCTAAGAAGAATATTAAATTTTTTAAACACTGAAGCAAAAATAGTTCAACAACTGTCGACAAATCATTGAACCAATACTGACACAACACCAAACACCTTATCTTACAGAAAACTCTTTATCTTGGAGGTTCAAGTCAGACAGACTTCTGTAATTGACTAGGTTTCCTATTAACAAAGGGTTACATCAGAGAATGAGAAATATTAACAATACCTATGAATGAACATGTGCATAAAGGAACGAGACAACAGAAATAGTTTGCCTACATTCTTCTGTGAGAAAAGACTACAGAACAATAATCTTCGAAAGGTATGCACACATCTATACTTCTATGAAAAGAAAGCATTTACTTAACCTATAAGCAAAACACTTTATTGCATTTAAAAGATAAGGAGTCTTCTACATCTCAAATGTTTATGAGCTTGAGTTTCAAATACTATATATATTTTAAATCACAATTAGTTAAGCTGAAGTATTGTTTCTTGCAAGTAAGTGGTTGGTGCTAGAAAATACAATTCTGACGACAGTGTTCTTTCTATCACCTTTTGTTTCTAAATTCATTAACTAATGTACTTTTCTGCTGATCTCAGTGTTTCCATTTGCAGATGCCTTTTGAATTAAGAAGTCATATGCGGCTTTTGAAGTGTTTGATGAGAAATATGCCTGGTAGGAGTGTGTGTGCTGTTTCCAAAGAATGAAAATGGTCATAAGAGAGGGCAACAGAACTAACTCATCTTTGAAAGAAAAATGAAGTCAAAATGAATGTTAATGCATGGTAGGAGCTTTAGGGAGTGTTACATTTAAAATTACATATGGGCAATGAGTGTTGACACTGCAAAAAACTTCAAGAGAAAAGATGTACTAACAAAACATTTTTCATAAAAATAATGACAGATTTGCATGCTTTTAATGTTTACGTTAATCATACATACCATTCCATTCAAAATGTCAAGCATTAAGGACTGTAATAAATCTTGAAACAAAATCTACTAGTCTCAGCAATTCTTAGTTATCTAGAACCATAAAATTTACTATAAAAGAGATGAACTACAATTCCCAAAACTATTAAGACAGAAAATTTAAATTTCAGTAAGTTACAATATATTCATGCACTGAAAAAACACTACCACTCCACCCACCACCCATCCCCCTCCCCTCCAGATTAAAAAAAATTATTCACTGTTAAAGGTTTGTTTTTAAAGCTTAGATAGTGACACTGAAGGTTTTTTTTTCCAACTCCTTGTTTAAATTATCAAAATCTGACCACAGGCAGGAAATAAACACTTTGGACTACAGGATTATAACCTCAAAAGATTTGGATTACTTAGAGCAGTGTTTTGAAATAATGCAATGGATGCAAATTACTACATTTGGATTTGGACTAAACAAGTGTACAAGCTCAACCTGAGGAATGACCTCCTAAACATCAGCTCCTCAGAAAGAGATTTGGGTGCTGTGAATCAATACTGGCTGAATAAACGCTGTCACAGTTTTAAGAAAAATGAACACAGTACTGAAATTTATAAACTTAATTTCATTACTAAGATGACATAGTTCTAATCTTCTTTTTGACACAAACTGTCAAAAAATCTGTGCAGCGTTTGGCTACTACATTACAAGAAAACACACGCTACTGGGATGCCAAAGACAGTTGGCAGAGAGACTATATAGTGTAAAGAGGACTAGGAGGAGACATGACAGTAGTCTGCAAACAGAGGAAAGGCTGCCACAGAGGGAATATGTTCTTCTAAATCATACCTGGAACAGAGTAAGACTCTTACGGAATGGGAAAATGTGCTATATTTTAGGAAAATGGTTCTGAAAAGTGAAGATTCTAATGCTATCTCAAAAGAGTTAGAGTTTTGAGTTAGACAGCTTTTCACCTATCATTTGAAAATAGTTTAATGACAATTGATTTTGCCTCTGATTCAGGAAACAGCCAGAATGGCCTTCCCAGCCACCTTTCAAATATTCCTTCTGTGACATTTTCAGCTTCCTCTTCATAATAAACAAGAAGTTTAGAGAGAATAAGGGAAGCAAAGCAAATCTGGAAGAATTTCTTAAAAGTACCTGACATTAAGAAATTAAAAATGGTAAGACTAAAAGTAATCCTAGCAACATTTCAACAATATCACTAGGTATGGTATACTAACTAGAAAGAAAAAGGACAATTTAAAAATTGTTGAATATTTGTGAGGTAGCAGGATATTGTATTACCTAAACTTTCTGATCTGCTAGTGAGTGACATGCTTGTCTGATATCAGACCAAAATAAGCAGAAAAGTTGATAGTGACTTGACTAATACAGGCTTAAAAGAAAGATAAACGATAATACAGACCAGTGTCTTGTAGAAGAATACTGTAACATTTTATCACCTACAACTTTATATGTTTCCCGGTGGAAAAAAAAAATAATACAATATACCTACATTTTAATGAGCCATGTAAATTAAAAGTGTACTGTATCCCAATTAAAAACTAGACCAAACCTACACTAGTTCAGAAACGTATGTTAAAACTGCTAGTTATTGATTGGTAACTAACAAATAAAAGACCTCAATAAGGATTCATTACTTAGTCAGTGAATTGAATTCACTGTAGAATTTCCTATCAACTGTGAAAATGAGAAACATGTTCAGCATCATTCAACATTTTTGTTTCTGAACTGAAACTATAAATAAAAGGATATTTTCCAATTTCACAAGAACCAGCTGTGTGAAAAACAAAATGACAGTAAATTAATTACAGAGCATCATCTGGCAAGCTGGATTCATTCAAAGGAAAATTGCACAAAGACACCAAACACAGCTGATCTTTTGAAATCCACTGAAAAAGAAAGACAGTCAGGTTTTCCTAACGGTGTAATTTGGAGAGCAGTTGGACTGGAAAAGATTTACAACTCATATACTGGACAAGAAGTTGAGTTTTAGACACTCTTACAACACTATGGTAAAAACGTCTAGCACACCTCTTGGATATGTGAACAGAGCACCTGTGATATAGAGTGTGAAACTGCTTTTGAATCTGAAAATTTGTAATACAGTTGAACAATGAGAATAAATCTCATGGGAAAATCTCACGTATGCAGAGATAACACATGAAAATTAATAGTGATCATAATATCAAGGTATTTTAAAGGAAACAATACTAATTATTGTAATTTTTTTTGTGAAATATAGCCAAAGATGAAAAGCTGAAATAACAGTGTTATATACACCATATATACATGGATTCTTCCACTGTCATATTTCTTATTCTGAGAAGAAAACCAACTTGAATTTGAAGCTAAAAAACTATGGAAGCTCGCTTTTTGTTTATACTGCTACTAACTTAAAAAAACTACTAGTGAATTGCTTTATTATATACTTCTGTCATTCAATTGTGTTCAATTTTTAACCTATTTGAATTTATAATTTTTGTTAATAATTTGATTTTAAGCATTTGCACACTGCCCTACCTCCTTCCTTAGTGTTAGCTCTTTACTTGGTGGGTTGAACCAAAACTGCATGATCATTCTGATAACACAAGAACCAATGGATTCCTGATGGCAAAACAATGCACTTATACTGGAAGAAATACATTTTCACAGATTATCAAAGAGAACTGTAAACACTGAAAGTTATATGGATATAAAAAGCAGGTTTAGAAATAGAGGGATAGCTGAGGATAGTCCAATTTGTGGAAGTTAAACAATATACAGATAACACGAGAGGTTCAAGAAGTCTTTCAATACCCAGCTTTTGGAAACTTCTGAGGAAGGAAATGTCACACTTGGCTCCTATGATTTTGTAATTTTTCCCTAAACACTAATTATTACCTACCATTAAGAGATGCTAGGCTAGACAGAACTTGAGCTTAATGTATAATGGAACTTCCTATGCTCCTAGTTCATCTTAAACCTGAATGCTCATCTTGAACTTGCTTTAGGTCTTAGTAATGAATGAATTAGTTGGGAACCCCTTGAGACAGGGATCTCAACATACAGCAGAGCTTGTAGGGTGTCCACTGTATACAGGTGCCCAACAGAAATGCTTGCCAATGAAGTGCTAAATTCACAGCTTTTGTGAACTGGAAAAAAAATGCATAAATGCATCTGTTTCTGATGAAATTAAGAACAGACAAGTTGCTCTATAAAGGAACAAAATTTACTTACATCAGTGTTGCAGGAGCGATATCTCTTCCTTTCTCCAAGACAATATTTGCCTCCACCTGAAGGCCTGGAAAAAGATGTTTTATGTCTTAGTTTATGCTTCAGCATAAACACATGTTCGTGAGATTTATATTATAAGCATAAATGTAAGTACCTAAGATATACATAGGTTGCTCTGAAAGAAATGCCTCCCTTTTATTTCCATGGAAGCAACAACAGATAAAAAGTGTGCAATAACACAGCCCGAGAGAGCAAGTTTTTACCTATGAAACACTTCTTTTCAAACACTGTTTTTCAACACAGTCATCACCCTTAGTTACTCATTTTTCGAACTGTCGATGAATGTCTGTAGGTGCTATTTTTTCCACATGGATAGAATGGAGAAATTCAGTGTCACACCTTTGCTTCATACGCACTTCCACGACAGATGCCACTTTGTCAGACTGCCTCTCTGCTGCCATCTCTCACACGGCAACAACGTGGAATGAAATACTGGTGGGAAGGTACAACCTTTACTGCCATACCATCAGCATCTGCATCTGACAGCATGGGCTAATATAATAAAAAGGGAGGCATCTGTACCAGAGCAGCCCTCATAAACTATATAATGTAAAAATAACTGACATTAAATTTTTAAGGCAAGATTTTAAAATATTTTTCTTAATAAGAATTGTTGCACTGACTTGAATAACAGCAGATGCAAAATAGTACTGAGTGCTTAAAATCTTCATTCACAGTATTCATCTAGTTTGTAAGGATTTCAAGCAATACAGTGTAATTGTAATCTGAACATATTAAAAAGGTACTGCTTTTGTGTGTGTCTGTGCGTGAACAACCAACCCACACTTTCATATCACTCCCTAAGAAATAACAAAATGAAAAGACTGCCTGCTAAATACTGGAGTCATAGCAAAGACTACATTTTCAAGAATCTGATTCTGATTTGAATTAAGTAGTATTAAATCTAAAGAAACACCAGAGTAAGCTGGTGTGATTACAACTGTTCTAAAATGCTCTTAAATTCCTAGACTGTTCAAGAACCTTATCTATCTTCAACAGAGGTCAAATAATAATTATTATCAACTTTAGTGAAAGATTAATTAGTCATCAGATCTTTGGCTCATAACTTGAGAGTAGAAACTGAAAACACTTGATGTCTGTTTTATAATAAAGGAAAAGAAGAATTTTCAGTTAACTAAACAGTAAATCAATACTATTTTCATGTTACAGGTATTTAACCAGGAATCCTAATGAATGAAAGGGAAATTTTTCCTAATGTGGGCATTGGAATAATAATTTTTTTAAAAATTGTGTATGCTTGCTACACTGCTAATTATCTTTCAACATAATAGATACATATGAAGATAGGAGAGCTAAAAATCTTTAATTATGCTTCACGCAAACATTTCACTACTGTTTTTACATAGCGCTGTGAAAAAGATTATGTGCTTAGTTTATTGTTCTCCCAGTAATAAAGTCTGACATGTTACCTATATATATAATTTTTAATCTATTCAGCAAGTAGTGGTATATTACAGATTTGACTGATAGTAACAGATAATGGCAGAAAGTAAAAAGATCACTTTAAATAGCAGTAATATTACATCATGGTGCCTTGTCTTACAGATCATTGAAGCTGAAGCACAGCCTTGGTTACAAAATTTGGGTACAACAAATGAAGAACTTTAAGTACACTAAGAGGAGAAGGTAAGACAGGAATGACAGAGTCACAGAAGGGCTTTCATGAAAAAAAATGTGATGCTTTCAAGAAAAAGTAGTCTTAAAAGCTAGCAAACACGTAGCTGGTAGGATAGAGGTAGTGCAAGTAGAGGTCATGACAAGAACAAAGTACTGAGTAAAAAAACTACTACAGGTAACTATAGCTATAATGAAATAACCCAAGCAGGACAAGGAGAAACAGAAAAAAGAAGTGACTCGTTCAGCAAGAACAGCAATGAAAATAAGTAAGCATTCCTCATCTGAGAAGCACTAGTGACAGATAAAAGCACTTACCTGACAAACCACCTCTGCAACAGTGCTCAGGACATTGGGAAGCAGACAGATGCTACTACGAGGTGATATACAGAACAGACCAAGCTGTAGTGGAGAAGGTGCCCCCTCTTGAGAGAGAATAAATGGACCAATAGGGAGTGGTGGCAAGGAGAGATGTAGCTCAATTGTTTTAAGAGTCAGTGGGAAGTCAAAGCTAAGTGTTGAATGTGACAGAACATAAATGTACTGTAAGCTCAGCAATATTACTAATTACAGATTATATGTAAATCACTGAATGCAGAATCTTGGAAACAGTGTTGCTTTTTTAATAAGTAACTGGCAATATTTATTTATATTCTAGACTAACACCAGAGATGGTATGGATAATGAAAAAATAAACTTATTTCATAATTTAAATATATTGTGTATAAAAGGAATTTTGAAAAATAAAATTGTTCTAGTCACTACTAAATATAATTCCAACAATCTATATACTACATACATAATAGGTAAATTAAAAAATGTTAAAGCTATGCCAAGTGAGCTTCTCCTGTTTAACTGTTTCTGTCTGCTATTTCGAAGACAAATGCTGGCAAACCAGCAAAACATTTTCACAGATAACATGTGAAACCACAGTTCTGAATAAATTCCAACTGTGTCTTTTTGTTGGCTCCGGCTTACTTTAGCTACTTACGCTGGACTGTCACAGTGTCTTATTGATGAGGAGACTCCTCCACCGCAGGTCCTGCTGCACTCTCCCCATATTGACCACGGACCCCAGTCCCCATCTATGCTCTGGGGCCAAGTGCCAAAAGGAACGCACTCTCCCTGATAGCACCACTGAAAGATTTCACCAAAAACAAGGAAACAAAATTAACATTCAGGCTGACAGTTATCACGACAGAAAAATACCAGGGTCAGATAATGACCAATTATAGGCATCAGCGTTCCCTGAACAGATAGCAAGACTAATATTTTACTTAATCTAGCAATGTTTAGACACTGGTAAGGGCATGTGTGATTTGTTAATTGTCTTCACTAAACTCTAAATTGTAAGTCCCAAACACACAACAGAAGTTTAAGCAAACTTAAAGAAGAATGATTTCTTTTTCCATGACACATCCTTGCTAACGTTTCAGAATAAGGGAACCATCAAGTAGAGGCTGTATTAAGTTTAGACAGTAAGAGTCCTTTCTGAAGTTAATCTAACAGAGCAAGCTCCAATTAACAATTCATGCAGGGGCTGCATTATGCAAAATGAAAGACTTTCCCCAATAGTAATTCGAGAAAGTATTTCCCTACATTTTAAAAAAGTATCTGGACAAAGCTACAATAGAAGAAGAATCTATTGTAGTACTTCCTACATTTAATGCCACAGACATAACAAAACCAGAGCCAAGGCATGAGACATGGTACAGAAAAATCACTGTAACTGCTCATTTGTTTAGCAGAAGAATGAACAATGTACTTTTTTCATGCAAACTGAAACTTTGCAATATTGTTACTTAAATTGGTCATAAAAAATGTCCGTGAATTCAAATAAAATGGTACTTGTAAAAGTAAGTTCATCACTTCCTAAGTCAGCAACCTTATTAAACAATTCAGAAATAACCAATAAATCACAGTTTGATCCATATTCTAGTGTAGCACAGAAAATCTAAAACAGTTCAATTAGTTGATTCATTACTGCCATTATTACATCCAGCAACAGAATAGAACATGGACTCAAGTGTACAATGTCCCAAATCTGCACATTTCAACTCCAAAAGGTGATTATCTGTTCTTTAACTGCCTTGAAGTACCATAACAGACATAATATTGATGCTGTTCAGAAAAAAAAAAAACCTTCTGTGCCCAATATCAGAAATCTGAATCTGAAAGAATGCACTTAGACACACATAGAAAACACAGTGAAAGAGATGTATCTGTGTTCAGACCACAAACAGCATGAAAAGATTCTGTGTGGAGTTTAACTGGTACAGCAAAACCAAGTTTTCTCTTCTCATCCTAAAGCTCACCTAAAGTCACCTCAGCCCCAGTAGTATGGAATTGAATAAAATTAAATGAATTGAATACAATTAAATGTAGCCATTGCAACAGACTTGAACTAATTTGGATATGTATGATACCAGGTGAAAATACAGTTTAATCTGCAGCCACAATTCAGAAATAATAATAATACTAATAATGATAATAAAGGTTTGATATTAAGAAGGATTATACAGTGTTCGTCAATGAAAATTAATTAAAAATTTTAGGTTTCCATTAGAAATTTCTCTTTGAATAGAAAGTACTTTAATTGTCAAGCATGTCAAAGCCTATGAATGTACACCGAATACGCTAATAATGAACTGTGTAGCTCATCATCAGCAAATGCACCTAGTTACAAAGCAGTTTTGCATACATGCTACCATTTAACATTAATAAAAGTGAAAACTTACATTGTTTTTCTAGCCACATCATCCTTTTTTCTCTCAATAGATTTTAACTGCCATTATATTATATACTATAATATATATTTATATTATATATTTTATATATATCATATAAATTGTATAATATATGCTATAGATATATATATTTTTATATTTATATTTATTTTTATATGTTGTTCTTGAACACGTTTTGAAGAATAGCTGCTACAATCCAGCATATTTCTGTTTATAAACCTCTTTCTCTACCTCTAAAAATGAAAAAAAAAAACAACCCAGCATTTAAGTGTCCTCAGAAAGTGTACAAAGTGGAATATTTTAAATCTCAGGTTCAAAATTGCCTTTTCTATCAGATCATCTTTTCACCTCAGCCTAGATGGTGCTGTATTTTAGACCTGTGACCAAACAGTGTTGAAAGCACTGTTTACTGACCAGTGCCTCACGGCCTCAAAGCTTTCTGTTTCTCACTTTGCCCCTCCAAGACATAGACTGGATATGGACAGGGACAGGACAGCTGACCTGAACAGGCAAAAGGATATCCTGTAAAGCCTAGAATATCATATTCAACAATTAAACTGGCATCATGCTCAGCAATAACACTGCTGGGGTACTTCCAAGGCAGTTATTACTTAGAGGCTGGTTGGGCATTGATCTGCTGAAAGGAGGTGGTGAGTGACTGATTGCCTCTGCATCTCCTGTGTTTGTGTTGTTCTCTTTTTTTTTTTTTCACTTTGTAAACTGCCTTAATCTCAACAGATGAGTTTTTCTCACTTTTACCTTTCTGATTCTCTCCCTAGTCCTGACGTGGAGGAATGAGCAAAAAAATTGGTGGGACGTTTAGCTATCAGCCAGTCTCAAATCATATTTCTTTAGAAAAAACAAACAACCACAACAAGAAAACAACAGCAAAAGAAAAAAAAAAGAAGGATGTGAGGTTTCATAGAGCTGTTCTGAGCAAGAAAGGGTTCCTTCTTCTTGCCGTTCTAAATTTACAACTTAGAGAATTCTGCCAATAAGCAGGCATCTAGCAGAGGAAAATACTCTTAATATGGAGTAGCTTTTAAAATCAAGACTGTCACTGAGTGCCAGTCTAACACATAAAGCAGTTCACTTAGTAAATACATACTTTCTGAAATGACGGTGTTCTACAATAACTGTAGAAAGGAAAATAAAGTTAATTAATGTGAACTAAGTTTTCTGGCTCTCCTCATTACAGTGACAAACTAAGTGATAATCATTTCATTAACTACAAGACAATAATCACTTTGCAGTATTTTGTTACAGAAGCCACAGGAGTACATAAACAGTTATCTAATACAAAGGTCAAATGCTAAAAATTAGAATGTTTCTAAGAATAAAAATGTAAGTTAACAATTTAGACTAAAAATGCATTACAGAAATAATATAAAAATTTCCAAAACAAGATTTATAAATAAAAGAATAAATAAAACCCAAATCCATACCACACATGTACAAAGAGAAAATGCAAATAACCCAATTCCGTGCTATTATGGCTCAACACAAGAGGCTGCTGCATTTTACCTGCATTTTACATTTCCCCAAACTTGTATAGAACCCCTGTTCTTCATACTGTTCTCTGCTTTCCTAGTATTTCCTTCTTCTATATTTCCAAAGTCCTCTGTAAAAACTCCTTCAGTGCTGGTTTTTCTCTTCTACTGAAGTTAAATCTGAAGACCTACCATGCATTTTGATGTCTCTTGCACATTTTCTAGTGAAAATTTGTCTCTCAGCTGATACTGAATCTCCATCTGATTAATTCAAAATGCCCAAAAATTTGCATTATTTCTAATAATGTAATAATGAGGAAAGGACTACAGAGTAAACAGTTTTTGAAAAAAATATATATATAAAAAAATGGAGGAAGTGACAGCTATTTGAGAAATGCAATCTTTTATTAAAGGCTTAGAGCTGAAAAGTTAATTCTCCTCTCCCACTAGAGAAGGAACTTTCAATTCCTCAGAAATGCAGAGAGACAGTAGTGATGCATTTCAAAACAAACTGAATGTGCACAAGATTGCAACTCTGGATAATATGAGCAGTCTGGGATTCTTTTATAGAGATCATTAATGGTGAAAGAAAATATGTCAAAAAAAAATATGACCACTTCTGTAAGATTTTTGGATATTTTATAACAGCATGCTTCTCAAAAACACATAGAGCAAACACTTTGATAAGGAGGAAAATTTATATCATTTTACAAACATAGGAAAAAAAAAGGTGAATTCAATTTATGCTTGTCATCTCAGCACAAACAGTGGATTTTCAATCACTAATTTCTACAATTTTTTTTTTTTCATGGAAAACCGATGTCCAGTAATAACTTGATTTTATATCTACATACTCCAAATATTCAAACTTCTTTCAGTACACTGTGTTTTCTCATTTTGCTCATTTGCCCCTTGTTTACGTGCTTAGAAAGGGTTTATACAATGATGTGAGACCAGAGAGAAGCTCCATCTATTCTTGAAAAATTACTGCAAGATTTGGGAAAAGTATACCTTTTTGAACCCAACCAATGTATGAACCCCTTCACCAAGGCTTGAAGGTGTTACAGAACAGATGGTCTGTCAGCAGCAAAAAAGCCCTCACACTATTCTATCTCCTTTTATGCAGAAACAGTTGAATAACACTATTCTATCTCCTTTTATGCAGAAACAATTGGATAATTTATGGAAAAAGGTCTAAAAATCCTCAGTCTTATGCAGACATTGACTGCATTTGAACACAAAGAGTTAAAGTTTGGCACATTTATATAAGCAACTACAATAAGGATTATAATACAGTGTTAGTAAATTTTTACTCTAGAAATCCCTCCTAGGTCTGCCAATAAGCTATTAATGCACACTCCATCATCAAATGATCAAATTTTGCCTTGAGTTAGTATTTATGCAGAATTTACATCAGAGTAACTAAAAGCAGAAATTGATCGTCTAAATACGATAAAGTACTCTGGGATCTTGCTCCATCTTTAGAACAGGGAATGTCATTTATTATCTATTTGGACAGAGCCCAGCAAAATAGGGCCTAATTTGGTTGTGGCCTTTAGGCGTGACTGCCATATAAATGTTACTATTATAATAATAATAAAGTGTTATTGCAACCTATTATTTTCTCCTTAGCATGTGGTGAAGAGAAACTACATAGTTGGAAAGATCTGTGTTTTCTGCTTATTTGCTAACAGGAACTATTAATTTACAGGAACTTTCGAAGTATATAGCCGCAATTGCCTGCTTTTAAGGGCACTAACAGTTTAGCTTAGTACAATAATACTGATACCCACACTTCTCCCTAAAATCTAAAAAGAGAAGGTACTGGACATGTTTTGTAGAGAACTAATTGATTGGAGCCTCTGGTAAATGGACACAGTAACTGTCTTAAAGTGTCTTGACTTCTCCACTGTAGTCTAAACGGCTTGAAAAATATAAATTGAGGTAAATTGCTCCTTGTAGCTGACAAGCAGTGCTGGTTCCAAAATAAACCTAGACTGTTGATTTAAGAATAAGGCTCCTCGCATTTTCTATTACTCTAATAAAAGGTAACATTTTCAGTAAAACGTGAAGGTCTCTCTATTTTCATTGGCTAACTCTATTTTTTAAAATGACCCCTTCAATGAATGTATTTAACATGATTTACCAATATTTCCAAACTCGGCATGGAAAAGTCATCACAATGGTGCTAGGTCATGGGCCCTGAAGGAAACCATCAGCAAGGATTAATAAACTGTGACAGCTGCCCAAAAGCTTTCATTCCATTTAAACATCTGATTGCAAGTCAAAATGCAGTGTAATCTTTGTTGAAACTAGCTTAGCTAGCATGGCAAGAATCAGAACAGAGAACAGATGATAGCAGTCATTGTTAGGAAAAAATCCAATCTGGAGCAGTAAATCTTAATGACAGACACAGCAACACTCAAAAAGATACTAGAAACTGTTTGATATAATAAGCTGTCATCATTTTGCAAAAACTTGCATAAAAGTTTTATTATCTTGGGAGCTGGCAAATGGAAGTAACTTTTTTTTCCAGTACAAAACCTGTAAATTAAAGATCAAATTATTTTTCACTCCTCTGAAATCTATATAGATTTTCCCTTGCAATTGAGAAAAACTCCATTACTATTCTTTATTTAAAATTTATTTTCAGAATTTTGTCTGAAACTACTGAAACATATTCAGTGTTTGAAAATCAAAACTCATGTTCAGAGAGACACAACAGTATTAGACTTATCTGTTGCAAAACAAAACACTGACTTTTGGTAATTTTCTGTTAAGTAGAAGAGCAAAGCTCTTCAAAGCTACATAGTTATGCAATACTAAATAATTCAAAGTCAGAACAGGTTGGTCACTGGGAAATACGGACTTTCAGAAACCACTTTTAGTAAGACAAGCGTTTTTTCTATATGCTTGTATGGTTCACCTACTGTCTGAAGGAATTAAGACTCTTTTATCTCCTATGAGAATAACAGAATTCAGGCTCTAAATCTTTTACACATTTTCAGAGTCTATGAAAGACCTACTATTGTAACAACTCTCTTGCTAAAGTTTCTCTTGATAAAATTTCATAAAGATTAAAAGACAGAGGTTTTACAGAAATAACCCAGAAAATAAAGAGAGACTGTGCAATTGTTTGTTTTATTTTGTTTTAAATTCAGGAAATAAAATTATTTAAGTTGTATTACATATATATAAAAAACTGTTAAATAACTTCCGCACAGCAATAACATTAGAATGCTAACGTATTCAGATCTCTCCTTTTTTAAACTCTTACTTGAACATTAGGACTTTAATTTTCTAGTTTTTCTTCTTGTAATCCCCAAACAATAAATTACTTCTTCGAACAGTAAGTTACTTGTACTCACCCCCTTTTCAATGCTTCCTGTTTGGCAAAGAGTACCTTCAGCTGCTGGAATACTATTGGTAACACAGCGGTTACTTTTGCTGAGACACCAGAGCTCTCTACACACTTCCTAGGAAAGAAGGCAGAAGCAAGTTGATCAGAGTAACAGACTAAAATTGCTTCAAGTCTTCATATAAACATGTACACAAGATTTTGTTTTGAACATAGGTTTGGCTGGAGAAACATGTCTAGGAGGTTTTAAAATACTCTGTAGCAATTTGTCACCATATTCTAAATACAAATATTATGCCACAAAAATTCTGGAAGCATCAAGCTGTAGAAAATAAAAATGTGATTTTCCTCAGCCACTATGCACATAGTGTTTTGTCACAGCAGTTTCATCTAAGCAACATATTTACTTTATATTTACATTTTAGTGCTGTTGTAAAAGCACTACTGCAAAAAAACTTGCTGTGGTGTCTCCATTACTAACATCATCTGACTTAAAAGATCATGGTAAAAGGAAAGATAATGTTAATGTTTAAACATGAACCAGCAAGATTTGTTTCCTTCAGCTTAAACTTAAAGGTTTCTAAGCTTGGATTACTTGCAATCCTTTTCTGGAACATATGTTAGAACAGTACATATTTACAATATTAAAATATTTCCTTTAAGTATTTTAGACTTGTGGCTGGTATTTCATAAATAATTTAGCCTTTCTGATTTCTTCCATTGCCAGCATTAAACAATTTTTCCAGGAGTCTTTTCTCCTACAGTATTTTCTCATTTGTTTCTGTGCATTTACTCATTTAAATTAAGTCAAGTTCTATTGACATTACAGATGCATAATTAAATATGTGAGGTTGAAATTCACAATGAGAGCACAACCCAAAATTGGCTAATAACTTGGGAAATCTCCATGGGCACTTCAATTGCCCTTCTCTTGAGCTATATATGTAGAAGAGAATTAGAAATTACTTGCTTTTATAGTAACCGATAATTTTTGCATGATAATTTTTGTTATATTCCTTTTGAGATCTCCATAGGGCTTAACAACCTGCTTATAGATATTTTCTATTTCAAAGTATTTCTGAAAAATTGAGAGATATTCACATCTTCAAAATGACCTTGTGATAGTCATTACTATTACATTAAACATCTGCTTAAAATTATATCCCAAAATAATTCCTGTATTGGTTATTATGCTGAATCCTGGTACAAAGAGCAAAAATGAAAACATGGTATGAGTAAAATAAGTTTACTAGCCTCCCATCTAGATCCTCCACAAATTTACTGCTTGTCTGACTTAATGAGTAACTGGCATCTAGTCTTTTCTGTGAACCTCATTCGGAACAACTGTTAAGATTTTCCCTAAGATTCATGTTTCTTGCATTGTACTGCATACAGAAATGGTTTTAAATATTATTACCTGGTAGCCACAACAACCGTTAAAAAGTACAAGCTTTTCTTGAAAATTATTTTCTAAATTTAAAATCAGGTGGTGTCACTCTTATAAGATATAAATATACTGTGCATTTACTTTCATGACTGGTAGAAGCAAGCCATCTTTTAAAAAATCAATTAAAAATATACCATCTTAGAACTAAAATTATGAGTAATCAGTACTGATGGAGAAATTCCACTGAACATTTGACAATTTGGCCAAAGACAATTAGTTACATTAAATTATGCATCATTTGGTGAGTGGCTCTATGAAAATGTACGAGAAGAGACATTCTTGAGCCTCTTATTAGAAATATGGTCCCAGGTAAAATCATACCTGCTGCCAATGAAGAACTACCTGCTTTCCAAAGTTGAATTTATTTTTCACTTAAGAAATTAAAACATAGTAAGTATTTACTTAAACCTCTGAATAAAATGCTTTTGCCACTACAGTTGTAACTTCTTCAGACTGAGACATACAATCGCAAATACACTGTCCAAAAATCAAACAAGGAAATCACAGAAAATATCACATTTTTTTTTTCCAATAATTCCTTTGATGATGAATTTTATAAGCTTTAAATTGTTTCAAAATTCAACACTAAATCAAAACCAAATCTAAATCAACCAAGAATCTGAACTTATATCCAGTATACATTTCAAAGTGAGAATTCAAAAGAAGTTCCTTTCACATATGTTGTCAGGTGCTCTGGTGATAATGTCTTACTTACTTTTTTGCAATTTAATTGCTCATCTGCTCTGTGCATGACTTGGATTGTCACATTGTAACTAAAAGTGTCAGACTGCAATGGCTGTACTTGTGATTCATTATCCTGTACTCATTTGTAAACAAATCAAGATCACTGGTTTAAATTAATACCTGTGTTGACTTTAAGAAGTGTGGATCAATGTTCAGAACATCAAAAATTGAAGTGCATTAGGACATGAAGATTTCAACCAGTTCAACACAGATAGAAGAAAAAAAATTGAATTTGGACAACTATCTGTATTTTGAAAACTTCTACATTTCGGGATGGTTTGAATCCAGAATGCTGGTTTGGGCTCCGTTTTCTACATGCAGAATTTCACTTGTGATATACCTACACAAATACACCATCCATATATTAGCACAGCAAAGGAAGTAATAATTAAAACATGTATTTCATCATCAGGCTAACATCTCCAAAAAGGAGAATATTTAACAAATACTCCCAGACATTTAAAATCCAAGTAAATAATCAGTTGAAATTAGTGAAGTAATGGACACAGCATTCAGAATTATTTTAGAAATTATGTGTTTGCAAAATGATTTAAACAATTTTCTCTCACCTCCCTACTTCATAAAACAAGGAAAATGTTTTCCTTTTTCCTAAGTGATTTCAGTAGACAGTATGAGAAACACTATCACAGCTAGACGCTATTGCCGACATGGTCTGTTAGTCCTTACTCAGTCCTTAATTTCAGCTCCAGTTTTTCTCAGCAAATCTCCAAAGGCAAACAGAAAGGAATTCAAACTGAAGACAGCCTGTATCACACTACTAATACTTAAGCAAAAACCACTGCTTAAATCAGAAAGGAGTTCTGTTCAGGGTCAGACATTCAGTACCTTAAGATCCTGATTTCCTTAAGGAAAACTATGTTAAATATAGAGGACTTGTAAACTAAAATAACATAATGTATCAACTTGCAGAATAAAGTTATACTAAAACAAGAAAGTGAAGAACACAATTCTGCAATTTCTTTTGATAGAAACTGTATATTTATTTAAAAGGTTATTCAATTTCCCCAAGTGCATTGCAGTTAAGAGATAGAGTAGAACTTAAAGTACATTTTCTATCACCTTGTATATGAAATTATAAATGACATGAATAGTGATTTAAAAACAAGAGATCTGAAAATAAATGGCAAAATTTATCTCTGGTCTTATTCCATTAAATGGGAGTACTATCATACCATGTTCATTATGTTTATGGCTATGTCTTCTTTATTTTCAGCTAATTTTGAACAGAAAGAAAATCTCACCAAGGTGCACAACATTTTCTGTACTTCCTCTCAACCCTCTACCTCATTCTGCCTCAAATTTATAACTACTGAATTGAAGTATTTCCTTATTACTACTATCATATCTGTAATATCTCTAAGCAGCTGTTACTAGTAAATCAGGCTGAAAAACCTATGAGAAACCCGGAAAGGTCAGGCCAAAAAATCACTGTTGAAAGAATACTGCTTTTCCTCACACATGCACAAGTACACACTCACCCATGAATGTAAGGTGATGGCTTTTTAGAGTAGCCTTTTCTTTGTTGGTGGAAATAAGATGAGATTAACAGATCTTTTGTGAATATTAAATTGTGAATATTTTACTGTAACTAACAAAAAGAAGCATAATCTGAAAATTCACCAATGATCTCGAAGACTCCATGTGTGTATTCAGTAATTATTCATTTGTAAAGGAAACAAGGGAAAATGTTCTAAAAATCCAGGAAACATAAACTGAAGCTGAGGCCTCTCACAAGATCAAGACAAGATAGATGACAACCTGTAACGGTGTATCTTAGGGCTCCATGACTTCAGTTTGGAATTCGGATGCTTGTATTTGCAGTAAATTAAACAAAGCTGAACCCATCTAGAGAAAAAAAACAGCAAATCAAATTATCTTCCTTTTGCCTAAGTGTTATCAATGATGGAGCCTCTTTCTCTTGTGTCATGCAGAGTTACATATAAGCATTGCAAATTATGTAACATCTAAGCATCCTAATTAATGATAATAAATGGTAACAATACAGCACAACGAAAACTCAGTAATATGAGCAAAGGTCAACTTGCTGTGCTGTTCAGTTTTTAATATTCAACACTAAGCCTCCAACAGAAGTTAGCAGTTTGGCCCTTAAGTAAAAAAAAAATAAGATAGAAAATACATTTACAATGCATACTAAACTATGATAATTCGGGGCACTCATATTTAAATTGCATATTAAATTCCAGAAATCTAGGGACTCATTTTTTTCATAAGGTTTTAAAAAGCCAATCAGAATTTTATGTTTCTATAGTTTATTTCATCTACCATATGCTGCACCCCTTGATGAGCATTTGCTAAAACACAGCATAAAAATGATTTGCTTAAATTATAGCTTACAATTCAGATCTGAAAAGTATCAGCCCAGAGTATTTCCAGCCTCACTGCTGAAATTCTGATGTTAAGACTCTCAAAACTAGAAGGCTGATTATATATTATGGGTGAACTCCGGAAGGTTCAAATATAAATCTAGTTCAGATAAGCACCCAAAAGTTACCATTTTAGTGCTCTGCTACCAAATGCTCATTAAGTGGTGCAGCATGTTTTGAATAACAACATGCTGAAAGAATGTAAAATAAAATCTGTAGCTTAAGTTGTACATTTGTATTATGTTACCTGCATGCTTTCCTAAACATTGGGTGCTTATGTGAACCTTATGGAAACTACAGAAGCCCCAGAAGGTCAATCACCTCCAAGTAGCATCTTCCCTTTGAAACCATGCAATCCTTCTCATCATTACTCAAAACACAATACAGAACCCAGAGTCTCACTATTGAGTCTTGTAACCTCTAAGACACTACTACTGCTTTGATCACTGGCAACCCTTTGCCCTTTTCAAATAACTTCAACAAGATCCACAGTTTTGTGAATGTCTGTGACTCTTCTGAGAG